CCGATGACCCACCGCTGGACGCCAGGCGGGAACCCGTACTGCGCGAACACCTGGAGCCGAGGGGCCGGGGCTGAGACCGCCGGGACCCGCCAGCCCCGCAGGGCGGACAGATGGACGGACAGGAGCATGGGGCAAGCCGGCCACAGTTGTTGCCCAGCACGGGGCAACCCGAGGGGCTTGTCCCGCTCGCGCCCCCCCACACCGTGCCCTGCTCCTACCATGTCCTTGAGCGATGCCAGGGTCATGTGGGGCCGGACCCGCAGGTGGATGGGCACCGTGTGCATCTGGGCGTCCTCCACCCCCACCCACAGCCTGGGGGCACAGAGGAGCGGGGTGTCAGTCGTGCCTCCGCGACCCCCCGCCACCCTGGACGGCCTCGTCCTCCCGCTCGCACCTTCCCATCACCCCGAATAGCCCCAGCGCGGCCCCCCTCTCTCTGCCCCGCGCTGCCCTGAAGGCTGGGGACCATTGCCCAGCTCCACACCCTTCTTGCATGGGCAGCAGCAGTAGGCGCTTATCCTCTCCTCCAGTTAGAGGATAAGGGACTCGAGGAGACTGGGGTCCCACCGGTTTCTGAGTCCTATGGCAGCAGCAATAGTAGGCTGTTGTCTTCTCCTCTAGACTGGCCCCTAGAGCCCCCCCTCTCCTGCCCAGGCTGCCCCGCCAGCTCCTACCCCTGACACGCAGTAGCACCGGTGCTCACCGTATCTCTTGCTGGGGGTAGGCCTGCTCTTTCAGCTGCACGCTCATGGAGACGGCCAGCTCCGCCAGCTCGCCGGCGCACTGGCACGCCAGCACCTGGTCCCCGCTCTCGATGGCCTCGGCCAGCCGCTGGGCCAGCTCCTCCGCTACGGAGAGGAGCGGGCAGGGTGAGCCGCGGGCTGGGGTGACCAGGCAGGGCCCAGCGGGGTCACAGACTCTGCTTGCTTGCACAGGCTAATAGGATCCTGAATTGGATTTGTTCTGCCTGGCTTGAGCCCCCCACGCATCGCCAGCACCTGGTCCCCGCTCTCGATGGCCTCGGCCAGCCGCTGGGCCAGCTCCTCCGCTACGGAGAGGAGCGGGCAGGGTGAGCCGCGGGCTGGGGTGACCAGGCAGGGCCCAGCGGGGTCACAGACTCTGCTTGCTTGCACAGGCTAATAGGATCCTGAATTGGATTTGTTCTGCCTGGCTTGAGCCCCCCACGCATCCTGCCCCCTTCCCCGCCGGCCAGCTCATGCCCCCCCGCGCCCACCTGGGGTGATGGCACAAGGACCGCGTCCCACCCGCGCCCACCTTTCCTCGTCGTCTCCTCCATGCGCGCCGCCCCCCGGCCGGCAGCACGGCAGTGTGCGGGGCCTGCTGCAAGGCGGGGAGGGGGAGGGAGAGGGAGCATCGGGGGGTGGGGGGGACGTAACCGGCTTCTCCACAACACCCCAAGCCTGGAGCAAGGGCTGTGCAGCATGGACGTGGTCAAGCTGGCACTGAAGCAGGCAGCCGTGGTGCTGGGCAAGGGGCAGAGTCCCAGCCGGAGCAGGGCACTGGGCCCTGCAGCCTGCTGCTGGCGTGGGCTCCTGGCACCCCCCAGGCCCAAGCCAGCCCCACACAAGCCCCATCCCGCAAGACAACGGTCTGGGTTCAAGCTGCCACCTCCCTGCAGGGCAGGGGCAGGGGCAGGTGCCAGGTCCCGGGCGGCCGCAGGGCCACGATCCAGGAAGAGGAGGTGGCAGGCACGGGGCCAGAGCCACACGCACTTCCCAGCCAGAGACGGGGCCGTGGAGGCGAGCAGGCCGGAGCCCCGAGCTGCCAGCGCTTGCCTGGCGCACTTACCGCCCGGAGCCCCGTGCCTGCCCGTGGCCTGGACCCCGGTGCTGGGACCAGCTGGAGGCCGGGGCTGACAGCAAGGGAAACCGAAAGCAGAGCGGAGGAGGAGGAAGTGGGACAGAGCCGGGCAGGGCAGGGCGGAGGCACAGGCAGAAACCGAAAGCCAGCCCTCCCGAGGCAGCCAGACCCGTGGCACCTGCCCCTTGCCTGCTGCTCCCTTCAGCCCCCTTCTCCCAGGCAGCCAGGGAGCAAGGGGGGCTGGGAGCTGCCACCCGCACGGGGCACGGCTCTGCCGCCTTCCTGGGCTGCCCCCGCTTTGCACACCGAGCCCCCAGCCCCGCGCCCACGTCCTGAGCCCTTCGGTAGCGGGCCAAAATCTTCCCTGCGGTGTTTGGCCCCGGGGCTGCGGGGCTGGGCCCCAGGGTGGGCACCATTGGGCAGGGGGGCAGACCCCAGAAGGTGCGAGTGGGAAGGGGCAGGGGAGGAGGCCGATGCCAGCTCCAGGGGGGAGCAGGGTGCGGGACCCTTCTCCTCCTCGGTGGCTTGAGGTGCCCGGATTAGCCTCCGCCCCAGACCCCGGGCACCTGCAGCACACAGCAGGCCTGGGACCTGATGGCCCTGGGGGGCTTGGTTGCTGCCTGGGATCTCCCTGGGGGCATCGGGCGTCGTGCCCCTGCTTGCTGGTTTGCAATAAGCGGCCCCAGCACCCATCTCCTCTCCCCCAACTCCTGCCCGACACCCCGCGCCACAGAGGCAGGCACTGGGGGTGAGTTAGTGTCATGAACTTTTTATTATTCATCCAACGTCAGGACACGAGAGTGCTGGTGCTGCGTGCGAGAGTGCAGCTGGCGCAAAGCACGGGGCGGCACCTCCTGGGGTGGGCTGGGCTCGGAGCAGCCGTGGGTGCCCGTGGCGGGGGGAGCAGGAGGGCAAAGCCAGCCCGCTGCAGACCCCCAGGGCTGGCCACGAGGGCAGGTTCAGGCTCCCTGCGTGGGTGGATTCAGAGTCCCGGCGAGAGAGGACTGCCCCGGCTGCTGGCCGTCCAGCCCATGGGCTGGGGGCATTGCTAGTGACTGGAGTTGCAGGCAGTTCTTTGGCACACGTAGGTACAAGCACCCCCAGCACGGGGCACTCGGGGCGGGGGTGTCATCACAGTAACCCCGTCCTCCCTGAGTCCGAGGTGTGGAAAGTGTGGGCAGCTTCCCGCCGGGCAGGCGTGGGGACGACCCGGGTCCGGGCGTGGATGTGGCTGGTCCCCAGGTCTAAGGCACGTGGGCGTGAGTGTTGGCCGGGCACCCGGCCAGGATCGAGCCTGAGCTGCAGGCACCCCGGCACAAGCTGGGGCCCAGAGGCCATCCCCTGCCCCTCTCACTTGGCTAGCACGTCCTGGGGGCTCTCCAGAGGCTCAGCTGTACAAGTCTTCCTCCTGCTCCTCCTCATCCCTCCTGCCCCTGACGTCCGGCACCACTTGGTCCAGCCCCCGCCTCCAGGAGGGGCCGGAGCAGGGCTCCTGGGTGGCCCCCCCGCCGCCGGCAAGCCAGGGGTGCAGCAGGATGCCCGGGGTGCTGAGCCGCTCTGCCGGGGTCTTGCGCAGCAGGCAGCGGACGAGGCACCGGGCGCGGGGCGAGAGGCCGCCGGGGATGGCGAAGGCACCGTGGCGGATCTTGCTGAAGAGCAGGGTGGGCTCGGCCTCCTGGAAGGGGTAGCGCCCCACCAGCATGGTGTACAGCACCACGCCCAGGCTCCACACGTCGGCCGCCTTCCCCGAGTACCGCGGCCTGGTGTGGAGGATCTCGGGGCCCACGTAGGCCGGGCAGCCGTGCTTGTCCGACAGGGCGTCATCGGGGCCGCTCAGGACACACGCGTCCTCCAGGCTCTCCAGCACCAGCCTGGTCCTGCGGGTGTTAGCGACCAGGGTCACCCACACCCACAGGCCACAGCCCCCGCCGCGGCCGGGCAGGCGCCAGGAGCCCGGGCACCTGGACGACATCGCGTCCCCCGGGCAAGGACCAGTTGATGGCAGGTCTGTAGTTCGCTGTGCCCCCGGCACCCCGCAGCCTGTGCCCGGCTGGAGAGGTGCATTGAGCCTCCCCCCAGGCCCAGCAGCCCCCGCCCCCCGGACCCGCCCCGCCTCCCCTCTCCCGGCC